TGCCCCCTTTGCAAAATTGTTTTTGGCACAAACAAGGGGAGGAATCACGCCGTTCGTTACCCAAACAAACAAGATGGCGGATGCAGCCAAAAAGTAGGTTTTTCCCTTTTTTCTCTGAAATTCGTGATGTTCTTGTGTAAAGGTACATATAACAACCTTCTCCACAATTTTCCTGGCACACAGAAAATTATTTCATGGTGTTTCGTCCCGTACTTCTTCTGAAATGCGCGTCACCAGATTCGAAGCGAGAGAATTTTCCACCGGTTTGATCGTGGTAACGTACGGCTTCTTCTTTAAAATTCACTGTTTTGTTTACATATATGTATATTAACTGAAATCACTGACATTAAAAAGTTGTAATATGTCGGCATCTAAGCATTCCTGCCCATTCTGGCTAGAATAACCGCTGAAAATATTAAAATCGGGGCATTTTCCGGAAATGATAACGTATGGCGCACAAAATATCAATGATAACGTACGGCGCATTTTTGTCTGCTTAATTGATTTTCTATATAAGAGAAAAGTTATGTTACCAGTTACCAGACATAAGAGGATGTGTAGAACCAAATAAAGAAACTGAATATTATTTAGTGTTTGCATAATATCTGTCATGTGTTTTTGTATCGGATAGAAATATCCGATCCAAGGGCTCTTTCGCATTGGGCTGTAACGAGTCTTGCTAACTTAAGCCCTTGTGCAGGTGCTTTTTGGGATGGATATTAAAATCCGATAGGTAATCACGAGTGATATGTTTTCTTGCATATCATACTCGAATATAGAGCAACTTTTCCACCTTTGGTGATCTTAAAGTTTCGTCAAAAGTGAAACTTGATCCCAAATTTCAAATATCTATGTATATGTTAGTGCTCATCCGTACTGTTCTATAGAAATTATAGATTTTGACGGGAGCGATAGCGACAGAAGGATGTTTTAAATTCTGTAGAACAGCTACGGATGAATACTAACATACTAAGCGTCAAGCTTTTTTGGCACTTTATTACGTCACTATGCTGTTCTATGAATTATTATGAAAATGAGAAATCGACTATGAACGGAATTAGTATCGTCTTTTGTTCTTCAATGAAAATTAACGCACAGATTTTCTTTTAGAAAAACAGCGCTTACATTGGGTGAGAAATAAATTTGGACACTACATAAACTTCTATTTTTCATAGTGCTTCATAGAAATGTGATCGTAAAATAGACAAGTTTAGTGACGAAAGAAAGTAAATATTAATGAAGTCAAATAAAGCTTGACACTAAATATGTTAGTATTCATCCGTTCTACGGATATAAGAAACATTCTCCGGCCGCTATCGCTCCTGTCAAAGTTTCTAAATTCTGTAGAACAACACATATGAATACTAACTGATTACTACGCTACTGTGATATTATTGTTTACGAAGTATATGTTACTAACATATACTTCGTAAACACTATTATCATAGTAGCGTAGTAATTTTTACAGCTGTTCTTTCATAAAGATAATGACGTCATCTGAGCGCATTCGTGAGCGGTCTAGCTTTAATGATTTCAGACGGGTTCTCGGACATGGATAAAACATCGAAATCCAAATCCGATTTGAAACTTTATCATGGTCGGTAAAATGTTTACCGCAAATTTCAATGACACTCTTTTATTGCTGATACCTGCAATACTATTTTGTAAGAGATTGATTGTTTTTGTTGGGGCGTTTGCGAGAAAAAAAGCCAAAATATGATAGGCAAATTTATGAATTGGATGTAATTGTTTTGATCAAATCATTTATAATAAAAAACTGTACGGATATGTCGTGCAAATATATCTGACGTCATAGTGGCACAACGTCACGCTAAATAGAAAACGTTTCGTCAAATAAACTGGAAATTTCTTATTTAATAAATTTATTGAACTTTTTCGCAAAACATTATTTTCTAACTAATTCAATAAATTCAATATAGAACCTATACTCATTCATTATTCTCTTTTATGAATTTTCTTTTAATGAGCGACCAGATTGTATAAACACAGGCTCATCTCCTCTGGGTGTAAGCTAGTCGCAATCACTTTTCGTTTTGTTTATGTTTGACGTGGTTCAAATATTAAGATTTTCTTATCAGTAATTTGTTAAAGTAATTTTGGAAAAGAAAATATATCAAGTCTTCCGTACCATTTTAACATTTTTGCTCTGGTGAATGCATTTCTTCTTTCTGATAAGGGGATAAGACCATAATTATCGCACAACACTGGCGAAATTTAATGTGAAGACAACAATACACAAATGTTTCCTAAAAGTGGAGGCGTTTCTTTCCATTCTGCATTTTATACAAAAATATTCTCAAACTATAAACGAGTGTTTTACTTGGTATATTAACAACGAATATCTATTATGCCACCAGCTAGAAAGATATTGATACCCGATGGTGCAGCATTGTTCAATAAAATTTATTTCTGAAATGACAAACTTTTTGTTTCAAATATCTATCATTTCCTACATACAAATAATTTATTATCAGCTGACTGGACAAATAGAAATCCACCAAGTAGAAAAATGCGCCGTACGTTATCATTGATATTTTATACGCCATACGTTATCATTTCCGGAAAATGCCCCGATATTAATATTTACACCAGTAAATCTAGCCAAAATGGGCATGAATGATTACTTGACAACATATTACAAATTTTTAAAGTCAGTGGTTTCAGTTAATATACATATATGTAAAGAAACAGCGAATTTGAGTGAAGAAGCCGTACGTTACCACGATCAAACCGGTGGAAAATTCTCTCGCTTCGAATCTGGTGACGCGCATTTCAGAAGAAGTACGGGACGAAACACCATGAAATAAATTTCTGTGTGCCAGGAAAATTGTGTAGAAGGTTGTTATATGTACCTTTACACAAGAACATCATGAATTTCAGAGAAAAAAGGGAAAAACCTACTTTTTGGCTGCATCCGCCATCTTGTTTGTTTGGGTAACGAACGGCGTGATTCCTCCCCGTGACAAACGGGCATCTGTGTATGTAATGAGTGACGTTTCGTAGGTTATCTTGATAAGATCGTACATACACGTTCCACACACAATTACATCATGTTCATACCATAGGCAAATATAAATGCACGTTCCCTGTTGTAACAATATGAAACCCCAGAAAAAACCTATGAACCAGCTTCTGAATATGGCATTTCTATCGTTATTCCACAAAAAGCACCCCCCCCCCCAAAAAAAAAGAATGAGTACAACAATGGGCATGCTCTGGAGTGTTGGGAACTATTACCTGTACTCCAGTTACGCACTGTGCATGTATATGAATTCGATTTAACTCTGACACGTTTTCAACAGAAAAGTCTTCAAACTATGATACAATAAATGTTTATGATTCTATAAGAAACTTTTTTAGAATTTAATGATTTTTCGGTGAAAACGATATAGTTTACTTGTACTACAGATAAGATCAAAGTGCTGAAGGCACTGAAGAAAAAACCGGATAAACTAACACATTTTCACTCCAGTTTCACAGGTAAATTAATTTTATATGTCGCGGTTTACATCTTAATATCAGGTAACCTTTGCTTTTTGAGACTTTTGTTTTTGAAAATAATCTAAACGAGTAAAATAAATCCTCTTTTATGGGCAAATAATTTAATAAGTAGCATCCCCGATTTCTCTTTCATAAATTGGCTTTAGCAAATTCTTTTCTATTCAAATATTGAGAACATTCTGTCAGTGACGTGTCTTCTACTTGAAATCTTCCTGGAGTGTATTTTTCGGTAACAGGAAGAAAATGACAATCTGTTCGTATCTTTCGGTAACAGGAAGAAAATGACAGTCTGTTCATTTGATCATGACTGTGAAAAATCATGTTTTCTGAACCAATTTATCCTGCCGATAAAGATTTTGCAAGCAATCTAGTGGTTTATGTTCTAGTGCTTACACTTAGTATTTAATTCCAAAGAACATTTCTTAGAAGACCTTTAACGTTTGATTACGGTATAATCACTATAACCGAAATACATAGGCCTGTTACTGTGAAATTTTTCGTTCATGTGTTTAAAATACTTCAGTAGCTCTATAAATTTTCAAAACGATATCCAGTATTTCCGAAACAATTTACAAAGGCTTTTAATACACAATCTTATAAATCTTAAAGTATTACGAGAACCACCCACCTAATCTCCAGAACATACATACGAAAAACAAGACAAATCAAAAGGCTGCAAGCTCTGTGGTATTTTCTGATCTTTGCAATCTAAATCGCACTGTATAACTGTATTATTTTCCTGTATAAGTTTATTTTTATGTACTATAATTCTTCTTGCTTGGTACCAGAGTTTGATACATATGGAATTTTGCATGACTAGAGTTGCATTTATGTTCATTTTTATGACAGCCACACTTTATCCTTGCATATCGTGGCTGTTTCCATAACAAAGAAACTTTATAAAAAATAATTGCCTTGAATTGGATTTGAACCCCAGACACACTAAACGAGCGCGTTACCCTTGCACCACGGAGAAGATATACGAACAATGCCTGAATAAAATCAAGTGATACTAAATTTAGATTTTCCATTGCATTTCGAGGTTTTTTGTTCAAGATAAACCTGTTGTTTAATATTGATGTAAATAATTTAACAAAAATCTTCTTGCCAAAACAGTCCGACATGTATATATTCCACTACTCGACAGTCAGATTTATTTGTGAAATACGCTCTCGACATCGCTTAAAACAGCATTTTCATTGATTAAAATGATATTCAACCGCGTAATTTGTGAATGTGCATTCATTGACAATTCCATAACCCAAAGCTACTTTTAAACTTTGAATGCGTTGTAATTTGTTGGATACTTTTAACAAAATGAAAATATTTCTTTCTTTTAAATCGCTAGTTTTCAGCTGTTTTAAGAACTGCTTGTTGTTAGGTTTGTCGTGAAACCGCTGTGTCAGAGATTGAATGTTAGCTTTGTATTTCCTGATCTTCGATCAGAAATACAAAAAGGAATGGTAACATTCACAGAGTTCCAGATAATTTTTTTACACTGGGGGTAATTACCCCCACTTTTCAGAATGTGGGGGTAAATTTAGATATATCGTAAATCTAAAGAGTACAATTAAATGACTTACTTTTTTTGCTGCACCAAAGGTTTATTAAATTAAAATTAACACACCATTCTCTAACTCTGTTTATTATATGTATTTTTCTCTTAACATACAATTCAAAACCTTTACGTTACAGTTTTTTCTTAGTCACTAATCTAGGTTTGTATGCCTCTGTGAGCCTCTTCTTCCTTCTATCTCTTCTTCTTAGCCATGTACTCACTGATTTTGATGGGTTGAAGTCTTTGACTGAAGGGCCAAGAAGAAATACAGTCATAAGGGCTTCAAGAGATTCATCTTTAAGAGCAGCTCTGAAACATTTAGAAAGTAAATCAATGTAGAACAAAGTTTTCTCACATATTTTACATATTTCTTTGAGTTATTATGATAAAATTGTCAGCATTATTGAAAATAGCTGTGGAACTTAAAAATTATTAATGAAGGTTGCTGATTGAATATTTTATATTTGTTTTCATTTTATTTTTCATAAAAAGATGTAAACATAATAAAGTAATAAACTTATTTATTCATACCTGTACTTTGTCTTAAATCTGTTCTGAGCACTAAATGACCTCTCACATTCAACACTTGATACCTCTATACAAAGACCAATTTCTGCAATTTTGGCAAAGTTAGGATATCTGGTGTTGTGTTTAAGGATAATTTTTTTGCAGAAGTCCTGAAGGTGAAGTTGTCTATAACACCCCTGTGACATGGCTTTGACAGCCTGCCATTCCTCCATAAGTTTGTCACCATCAAGTAAGGCAGGAACATGAGTTTGATGAGTAATGTCATCCACAGTTATCTTGGTAACTTTTGGTTCACAATATAAACTCATAATGCATTTCAAAGCACTTTCATTGTCTGATGTGTATGATAAAGGCTCCAATATAACACCTAGACTAGCTAAGATCTCTGAATCATGTTTCCTAATCCTCTTCTTAATATTCTTTATTAAACTGTCAATGTAATTTAATTTAACGGTTTCAAATTCTTTGTCTGAGTGATTTTTTTTGTAATTTTTCAAAGTCTCCCCTTTGTAGGATGCTTCATTATTTTCAGAAATTTCAATACTTTTTCTCATATCATGTAAACCACTTCCTTCATTTGACTTTAAGTATTCAAGTTTGCCAACAGTACCTTCAATCAATGGGTAAACATCTGAAAAAACAAGACTTTTTTCTTGAAGATGGCAGCTAAGAATTCCTAACTCTGTATGAACATCAAGCATAAGACCAACAAGCAATGCAGTTTTATATTGTGAGAAATACTTGAACAAACCCTTGGCAGAAGCATTTTCTGTAGCTAAATTAGACAGTGCTGCAAGTAATGATCCAAAACAGTCATATACAACTTCAACTGACCTTTTCAGACCAAGCCATCTGATTGAATGTGGTTCCTTAATTGTGATATCTGGCTCATTTAACAACTGTTGCATAGATTTAAGTGTGTTTATCCTTACAGTTGATGAAGACATAAAGTTATACAAAGTTTGGAACATTTCCTTGAATTTTTTCATGGTGTCATTGTTCTTCATAGCATCTGTTATAGCCAAATTAAACCTGTGGGCAATACAGTGAGTTTGAATCATATATGGACAAAACTTAGCTTGAAGTTGCACACCTACCCCAGCTTTTCTGCCCATCATAACGCTGGCTCCATCGGTTGCTAAGGACACACATTTTGTAAGGTCTAAACCCAAAGAAGTTACAATATTATGGACTGCTTCTACAACAGTGTAAGCACAGCCATCTGTTATCTCGGCACTTGCTAAGAAAGAGGTAAATGCTTCACCAGTTTTGACATAGCGGACACATATTGACAATCTTTTACTTACAGTTATGTCTGTACTTTCATCAAGAAGTAAAGCAAAAAAATTAGAGGTATTTATTTCACTGACTAGATCTTTTTTGTAGTTTTCAGAAATTATTTCTTGAATCTCTTTAATTGTACTCCAACTTAAGTTTTGATAAGGCATTTCAGCTCCATTTAGTCTCTGCAAATCTAAGATGGCATTTAACTGATTAAATGGAATTTCGTTTTTCATAATGTATTTTCCTGAAAGAGTTTTGAAAAATTTAGCAGATATTCAGCGTGAATTCACTTCAATTGAAAGGCCTTTACTATATTCTTAATTTTTATTTTATATTGTTTACAACAAAAATCAGTGACACTACATAAACAATAACGTTACAAATTATCACCTGTCAATTGCCGATTTCTGTATGTTTATTGCACCTTCATTAGCCCATACATTGCCAGCTTTAAATTTACGACAAGTCAAACATTTCATTCGTACTTCAGTACCAGTTTCTGAAATTTGCAGCCACGGATAACTTTTTTGCCAATTGTCGAGTGTTGTATTGCGATTAACAGTTATATGCGCCCTTTTTGTTTTAAACACATTATCTAAAATGTCTTCAACAATTGGATTGACAATTGCCTTAGAGGGTAACTCAGTCGCGATAAAAAAATTATCAATTTTTCTCTGCTTTGGTTTTGAAGCAGCCATGATGTACGTCTTTATTAATAAACGCTTGCAATTGTAAAGGAAATCAAGCAACACGTTTTACCAAGCGTCCACGCGATAAAGACATAATTAGACTGGTTTACAGAATGAAAAGTAGTTGGAAGTATTTTGGCGGGTATTAAACGGAAAAAGATACACAGTCAACTGTTAAACGGAAAAGGAATCAGTTTCGAAAATGAAAGTACACATCAAATACGTTTCGATTTTTCATTCTTTGCGTATTTAATTTTTAGCGTGCGTAAATGAACGCAACAAATTTGAAATATGGTGCGTATTCAGTTGATTTTGAAGCGTAAAATACGCCGATACGCACGTTATCTGGAACTCTGCATTCAATGAATGCAACACCCACACTACCAAGCAACACAGGACCACGGCTGAAGTATCAATGAAAAATTTAATTTCAGGCTTTCAAGTGGTAAATAAAAAGACTAAAAAAATGAAAAACAGGAATAAAGAAGAGACAAAAGTAGAGAAAAGTAAAGGTTTTAGTGCTATAAAGCAAGAAAAGCAGGGTTCTCTTCCTATCTTATTTATGCAATGAAATGCATCCGATCAATATTTAGCCGTTGCAGTTTTTGAAACCAGTCACTCGTGTTTTCAAAATAGTCGGGAAATGAATCTGACCTTTTTTTATCAAAATATTTACAAAATTATTAACAATGAGTATGCCATGGTAAACAGGCTATAAGAAGTAAAAACAATGGTTAAGATATGCATTGCCCTTTCCCAAGTTTGTATACCGTCTAGGAGTTGGAAGTATTATAAAATATAGTTTCAGCAATGGTTGTTGTATGATGTGAGGTTAATAATATCTTACTGAATTCTTAAAGTTACTTTTACTTACCTGCCCTTCAAATTTGTCTTGCAAGTATCATGATTTTGTTTGTTTTGTTAAATTTGAAAGAAAGTTAGGGTTTAAAGAAGAACAACTATATAATCAGTTTTAAGTTTATTTCACTAGTCCCGACAATAACCCTGCTGTGGAAGCTTGACTGTGTTTGGGGCTGCGTCCTGTGAACGTTGCCGTCGCCTTGATTGTCTTTATTCCAGTTTTTCTTTTTTACTCTTATAACGCTCTCAATTTCTTGTCCACCGAGAAGCTTCAATATATTGTTAACATTAAAGCACAGCTCAATTGACCCATCACTAGTACGGATGCCTTCCAATAAGAAAGAAATTTATCAGGATATCTGCTAAATCAATAATGATAATAATAATATTAATAGAGCCAGATTGTAACTCTTTTCCGACCTTCTTGATAATGTTTACCATGTGCATGAAACAGGTATCAATTACCTATAGTTTTGAATGTCTAGATCAAAACGTAGTAATCTTCTCATCAACAAAGTTTACATCCAATGCGGATAAATATGCAAGTATGTATGTAAAATGATAAATATTAAATTTCAGATCTATGTAGCAAAGGAGATCGATTTTTTTTCTTATAGAATTTTAATTATATGCACTAGACATACATAAGAATTATTAACTAATAAAGTTGAAGCCTAAATGTCCTATAATGAGGCCGGATTCATTCTCTATTTAGCCAGTGCTTTCAGTGCTTTGATCAGAGTTAAAGAGAAATATCTGGAATAACATTCTGTGTGTGCGTGTGATTTTTTATGCTTACAATACTCAAGTTCATGTTCGTTCTATAAAAGGTATTACGAAATTTTTTTCCTGAACGGGTGTCAGATAAACCAATGTGGCCTTTGAAATAGGACCCATTACACTGATTGACAAAGTAAATTTTCTTAGCCTAGATATCATGATATTTTAGACATTACAAAGTTAATACATACTATTTAATAATTACACGAAAGCTCTCAAATTAACATAGAATATTTGTAAAATTTGTGTATGTCAGTTTTCAACTCCGTACGTTTAGCTAAATTCATCATTGTAATGGAGAAAAAAACATGATTACAACAATGTAATGCTTTAAATATATTGAAATTGCTTTTGAAAGATTTTTCTCACAAGAACATATGTGAACAACAAGAAATTTAACAAACAAACCCAAAATTTGCTTTTAAATTTATGGATTGTTGGTATATTCCACTTTCGCACTTTCGTTGCTGCCGATACACAAAAAATTCTCCGTTTCGCTTTTTAGTCATCCCGAGAATCATCACGTGACCGTTGTTTTTATTCAGATTTGCAAACTGAAAGGTGTTTAAACGCTTTTCCCACAAAATTGGAGAACATATGTATTTCAAACGAATTGCCAATCCAAAGAACACATATCAATGTATCACTGATTCTGTTTGAATGTCCCTAACACGCAGGTAACATAAAATTATCGGTTCGTGAAATTTTACTTTTTTTTGTGACATTCGGCCGTACCTCAGTGGAGTACCTTTAACATCTGTCCCATGAATAGGTATTTATATCTTCACGTAATGCTTTGTAGTCAGCATGTTCACATTCCCAAATAATGCGGTCATAACACATATGTCGCGGTTTACGCAAAAAGATGATTTTGAATATGATTAATTTCCGATGGAGTAGAGGTCATGGATGAGACTGAGAAAGTAGCTGAGATTGGACCAGGATTCGGATGAATGTCTCCAGATACATGCAGGAGAACTGCTAGCCAGGAATAGTACACCAATACAAATAGCAAAGTTAAAGTATTACTGGTAAATTGCATGTTATTATAAACTCTTGTGGTGAATGTTATTAACTTATTACCTTTTTTGAAGAGAATCTGACGATTAACAGTTTATTTGAGGATAGCCAATAATGCATCGAAAACACAAACAATGGGATACTACAAATAAATACCAAAAGCAAAATATGAAAAGTGATTGGAAAATGAAGTGACCTATATATTTTGTATGATTTAATGAAGGCTTCGCAAGTGTTTCGTTTCATATAAGACTTATGAGATGGCTATTATGGCGAGTAAGAACTTTTGAAAAGCCAACATTGACAATTTGTATGTACAAGGGACAGAAAAGCATACGTATGCAGAGTGATGGACAACTAAAAAGAAATGTGGATATGAGACTGATAAGAAACATAGAGTTAGAAAACAAAAGAAAGAAAAAGAAAGTACTAGTATCATTAGTAAGTAATTAGTAGGAGGGATTTTAAGGGACATTTAAAAAGTAGATAGGAAGTTATTTGTTATTTGAAACGGAAGTCTGATAGGACAAGTTTGTAAAATATTGAGCTGGATAGATTTAGGTAAGTATGAATGTATTTTTATTTTGATCTAAAACGAGAATTGGATGAGGTAGGTTTGATAAGACAGGTGTGTAAGTTTATTTGGATGGTCTATTCTAGGTAAGTATAAAATTAGGTTGAAGCTGATTCGGAATAAGGTCCGCTGAAGTATGTATGCAAGACAAGAATGATAATAGACTATTATTTAATCAAGTTTATCTAAGTATAAAATGATGATCTAATGAGGTGAGTATATATGTTTGTCTGAATGTATGTATGTAAGACAAAATGATATTAAACTATTATTTAATCCAGTTAATCTTAGTCTAAAATGATAATCTAATGAGGTGAGTATATAAGTTTGTCATTATTTGGGAATGTCTGTAGTTATGATGATCGTATATAATAAGTTATATCAAATATATTGAGGTAGTTTTTATAAGAAATTTTGATTCATAAAAACGATAATAAATAATGTTGTTATTCAGATGAGTTAAATTATATCGTCAAAGGAAAGTAAAAAAAACGTAAATGATAAATTCAAATAAACATTAGTATAGATAATAGAAATAGGAAAATAAGATAAATTGATAAACCATAGAGGAGAATTCTATTAGCCTTTTAAGATGAACATGTATGAGGTAGTTTTTTTAAAAATAATCTATGCAATAGAAATTTACAAAATGTACAAAACGCATTCGCAAATACTTGTCATGAAAAAGAACGGAGCTGGCAAATAGAATACCAAAATCATTATCATTTCGAAGAAAAATCAATACTCAAATCAAATATTGAAGTATGCATGCTAAACAATAGTAGTTATTGATATATTGAAATATTATAAATTCAAAAAGGTTATCTTAATCTAAGATGATAATCAAATGAGGTAAGTATATATAATTTGTCTGATCTAAAAATGTATCTTTGGGGTTTGTAAATAGTTATGTTGTTTGTATAATATAATAAGTTATTTAAATATATTGAAGTAGTCATACATGTATAAGTAAGTTTTAATTCATGTATGGTAAAAGTAGATGGAAGCATATTTAACAAGTATACGTTTTCTGATGCAATTAGATAACTAAAAAAAGTTAACTTTAGATGATGAGAGATTAAATAAACTAAACAATAGAAGTTAACAAAATGTAAAAGACGCATATAAAGTACCCAAGAACACTCATACTATCCTACTTGCAAATAAAATATCGAAATCATTATCAATTCAAAGAAGAATAAATACGCTTGAGCAATCATCGGATGCCTATCCAAACATGGCTCGTTACAATTAAATAACGAATTAAGAAAAAATGTTAAATATATAACGAATGAAAAAAAAAAATCTT